TTTTTTTTTTTTTTTTTTTTTAAAAAAAAAAAACAACATTAAATTTACATTTTGAAACCAAAGTTGGTTTTGATACAAAAATGAGCCATTATTAATGTAGAAAATGCCATGTTGGAAGATCCTCATGTTGATTTCAGAATGCTGTTAAAACTGTTTGAAGGTACAGAGACGGGCAACAAAGTGATTAGTGGTATGTAGGGCCCTCCATAATAGGAGAGACCAAGCAGGTTAGGTCTATATTCATTTTGGAGAAGAGATGCCTGAGGGGAGGAGACATGATAAGGATTTACAAAATACTAAATGGTGAAGAGGAAATAAATAGGGATTTATTATTTGCTGTCTTTCACAATACAAGAATTAAAGGGTCACAAAACAAAAACTAGTAGGCAGTAAATTTTAAAATTAGCAAAAGGAAGGGTTGTTTTTTTTTTCTTCACACAGCACATCAATGAAGCGTGGACCTTGTTGCTACCAGATATTGCAGGAGCTGATATTTAGCCGGATTGGACAAATTCTTGGAGGAAAGGGGCATCGGTAGCTATTCAACATGGGAGTTAGGGATGCAGCCTCTGAATCAGAACTTCCTAGATCTTAAATGCTGGAAGCTCCAAGCAATAAAGAAACAGGGGAAAAACTAGGCATGCACTGATACAGATTTTTGGGGGCGATACCGATGGCTGATTTTTAATGAGCCATATCAGCCGATATCGATCCGATTGCCAATACGCAATCCGGCAGCTTGGAGAGCAGCATCTGGCTAGTAAGTCTGTTGTGGGGGAAGGGTCAAGGTGGGAGGAAAGGGGTAGGGGAGGCAGACCAAGGCTCCTGAGGTGAGGAAGGAAATGGGACTGGCACTGAGCCTGGGGTAGGGGCAGGCGCTGCACAGCCAGGGCAGGGCAGGGTGTAGGATGGGCCCATGGCTCATCCAGGGAGTGCAGGCACCCCAGGAGGGCATGGGGTATGTGTACCCCCCAGATTTGCCCACAGGGCGAGGGCAGGCTGCCACTGTGGGCTGAGGCCAGGGGCAGTGCCAGGCCATTCCTGGAGGTGCTGGGCCAGGCTGCACTCAGGTCAGGTGGTGGCAGCACTGGGAGTGGGGCTACAGAGAATTTCAGGGTGGCTGTAACCCCCGCCACAGTACCCCCTCCCACCGCTGCTGACAGCTACCTCAA